CTCTTCCGCTCCCGTCCCCGCCCACGGCGGCGGCCCCCGGGACGCCTGGGGCCGAGCCCCCTCCCCGTTGAACGCGAAACCTGCATCCCAGAGCCTTCCGCGGCTGGGTCACCCGAGCCCTGCCTAGGAGCTCCGGAGAGCACTGGGGTGGCGGAGCTGGAGAAGGGGGAAGGTGAGGGGCGGCTTCCTTGCCTGAAGGAACAGCAGGTGCAAGGCTGGCCCGTGGCGCCGGTGGGGTTCACCGGGAGCCGCGCCCCGCACCTCGGACCCGGACGCTGCACGGTGCCCGCGCCGGCCGGCTGTGTGACCGTGTGATTGTGTGTCTGTCCCCTTGCTCAAGTCGGCTTGCTGGCGATGGAGCGCGCGGTGGAGCCCTGGGGCCCAGACCTCCGTGGCCAGGAGGAAAGGGAGCAGCTGAGAGGCGCCCGCACAGGTGAGGTCTGCGGCAATGCGCCGCCGTGGGCAGGTAATGGCTGGGTGGGGACCCCGATGCTGGACTCTGCCTGGCCAAGACCCAGAGAAATTGGACTTGAACTGTGCTTCCAGGGAGAGAGGGGAAGGGGAGCAAAAACCAAGAGCGAGTCAGTGTTTCAGTGCACCTACTCTGTGCCAGGCCGGGAGGGTTATCATCTCTAGGACTCTCCTCCCCAACAGACATCACCAGCCTCACTGCCTATGCCCTACTTTAGGCCTCATTCTGCCTCATCCAGCAATTGCAACAGCCTCCCCTCTGCCCTTTTCTCTCCAATGATGTACTCTGCAACCACATTGATCTAAGTCCAGATCTAATCAGGTCTCCCTTCTCTAAAACCTCTACTGTCTACTAATTAAGAGCCTTAGCCTAGGGTTCAATCCAGACCCTAGTCCGAACATCCCTTTCTGTTTTTATCCTCCATTGCTCTACATGGTTTATTCTTCTCACTGTGAAAGCCTGTCCTTATCTCTCTCTCCCTCTCTCCCCAGCATAATTATTCTGAGCTCAGAAGTATAATTATTTGTGCTTTACCTTATCTCTCCTACCGACCCCAAGTATCTTCAGATACAGGTGTGTATCTGAGGGCTCTCAAGCGACTGAACAAATTACAGAACGGGTTGATATAAAGAGATATAATCGAAGTAGCAAATGCTAGATTTCTCAAATAGAGACAATATAATGTAATGGTTAACACAGGCTTGGGGATCAGACAGACCTGAGTTAGAAACCTGGCTTTGCTACTTTCTAACCTTTAAAACCTTGAGCAAGTGACTTAAATTATCTGACTCTCCAAAAGGGGTAGTAAGAGTATTACCTCAGGATTGTTTGCAAGGGTTCAGAAATGCTTAGTTCAGTGATTGGCACATATTAAGGGTATGGTAAAAGGAAGTAATTATTATTATTGAGAGGCACAGACAATAAGTGCTTCAGAAGTTCAGAGAAGAGAGATCCTTGTAACCACAGATTGTCAAGGAAGCCTTTCTGGAGAGGTGGGGAGGTTGCAATGGAAGATAGGGGCTGAGTCAAAGAGCAGGTCTACAACTCCCTTTTCTTTCTCCAGGTCTAGGGAGTGAGAATGTGGAGATGTCTCAGATGCATGAATTTGAACATATCTCACAGGAGGATGACTTGGGGTTCAAGGAAGAGGAAGATTTGGTCCGAGGTCATGAAGTAGGAAACACCACTCTCAAACCTGAAGGCATCCATACCTGGGATGACTTGTGGGTCCAGAGAGAGGGACCAGGGAAATCTCAGGCTCAGGACGGAGGCCCCCGGCTCCTGGGAGAACCACGCTGGGGCCAAGCTAGTGATCGGGCCGCTGTGTGTGGTGAGTGTGGCAAGAGCTTTCGGCAGATGTCGGATCTGGTGAAACACCAGCGGACCCACACAGGGGAGAAACCCTACAAGTGTGGGGTCTGTGGCAAGGGTTTTGGGGATAGCTCTGCTCGTATCAAACACCAGCGAACTCATAGTGGTGAAAAGCCCTACAGAGCCCGACCACCAGCCCAGGGTCCCCCAAAGATTCCTCGGTCCCGGATCCCTGCTGGTGAGCGCCCCACTATCTGTGGTGAATGTGGCAA